AGACAACATCAGGGCTATCTATGCCAACAGCAGAAGCGCTGTCCGAACTACCAGTGGAACATCGGACTGGTTTCCAGTAACATCCGGAGTGAGACAGGGCTGCAATCTCTCCCCTCTGCTCTTCGTGATCTACATGGACCAGATAACAAAAGAGGCCAATCCAGACCCAGAGGCACTCAACGAACCCATGTTTGCAGATGACCTGGCAATGATTAACAACAAGACTCAGCTACAGTAGCATATAAACCAACTAATGCGAGCTGCGAAAAATATGACATGAAGATCAGTATAAGCAAGACCGAAGTCATGACAATTAGCAGGAGACCAGACAAAGTGGATATCAACATCAATGGATCCCAACTAAAACAAAGTAGAGAATTCAAATACTTGGGCAGCATTTTCACAGAAAATGGAAAATTAGATTGAGAGATAGAGACTAGATGCCAGAGAGCCAACGCAGTCAGCTACCAACTGGGCCCTCTCCTGAAACATCCCAATATCCCCATGAGCACCAAGGCGAAGCTCATCAACGCCATTTTCCTTCCAACGCTCACATATCAGTGCCAGACATGGACTCTAACAAAAGCCCTAGAGAGGAAACTGGTCACATGCGAGATGAAATGCTTAAGAAGAGCGGTCAACAAAACAAGAAGAGACAAAATTTAAAATGAAGTCATAAGGGACACCGTGGGAGCAACACCAGTCCTACCACACATTGAAAAACAAAAGGTCAAGTGGTTCGGACACCTCACGCGGATGCCCTCAAACCACCCAGCTCTGAGAGCATACAACATTAAATATTCTGGATGCAGAACCAGAGGAAGACCAATGCGACGATGGAGTGAATCTGTGGCAGACACCCTTAAAGATCATGGGATGTCCCTCCTACAGGCCACACGACTTGCTGCAGACAGACACCTGTGTCTCCCCGCGACACCCCAGGGTACAAGCGGAAGAAAAAAGTAAAGTAAGTTGTAACACCTCTAATCTTTGGCACTTATATGACCTTATTGTGTTGCAAGTGCCGTAAAACTCTTACTAAAACTAAAACTGGGCTTTTCCTCCCGCAAGCATATGAGAAACCGTTCTGTATCAAATGCAAAACATATTACTTCACCATTAGGAACATCTTAACAGAATGTCCGGACGTTGGAGAGACCCGAAAGAAGTATTTTAAAGGCACAAAATTGAAGGATATGTTCTCCATCGTTGATCCAAACAGAATTCTCGATTTTGTAAAGGCCAGTGGCCCCTAAAAAATGAAGTGTGCTGATTTTTTGATACTATGTATATTTTCATTTTTAGATTTCTACTGTCAATTTTTAACATTTGAATTTGATCATTGACCAAATTGAGGCCGTGCTAAGAACTGTCGTGAATGCAACCAACTTGTGTTTCGCGCGCTCATATTACCTTATGCAGTCGCGAGTGTTATAAAACTCTAACTAAACAAGCAATACTTCAGCTATATCAAATCTCCTGGGATATTGCGATACCTAATAATTGTCCTTTTAATACCGATTTCTCATATTTCATTATTTTGACGAGCGCCTAATTTCATTTCGATGCCTCACAAATGTTAATGTTCACGTGATTCTTCATGGCCAATCAAGAAATCTGTCCGACTCACTGATTCCAATCTTTTTTTTTTTTTGTACAAGAGATGGAGCAGCTGGGAATTTTTCAATTCTTTGTTAAATAAATCACATGTCTTATAATGTTTATATTTAGAGACTTGAATTGCACCATCACGTAAAAAGAACGTAGCTATTTCTTCAAAGTAGATGAAAGTGGCAATTTCCGCCCTTCCACCCCACCCCCCCCCCCCTTTTTATCCCCCCCCCCTCCCCCACCTCTTCATTGGATTCTATGAAGTTTATACAACAAAAATATCTTTTTTTCAGACAGACGTCTAAATAGCAAACGTGTGGAAACGATCAAGTGAAGCATCGTCAAGACAGGCTTTTCAGCGTCCTTTTCTTCAATACTTCTGAGTGAAGATGGCAGATGAGACCACAACAGACCGCAATGGAGATGTCATGATCCTCGCACGAAATAACAGAGGCCGGTTGGTAGCTTGCGTATGGAACCAGGACATGGTTAACGGCTTACCCTCTCTGCCTATGAGGGAAGGAGATGTGGTCATTTGTTCGTATGCGAAGTCAGGGTGCCATTGGACATGGGAGACTGCTAGACTGTTGATGAGCCACCATGAAGCAGTAGTTCAGCAAACTGAAAAAGAACAGTGCATGATTGAGATGAGCACTTTAGAAAAGCTAGAGGCACTCAAGTCTCCTCGACTCCTGAATAACCACGGCTTTTTTGATGAGCAGCCCCTCTCCGAGATGATTGCGAAAGGGGTCAAGGTCATATTCGTCTACCGCAACCTGAAGTCAGTGGCGACCTCTTTCTATCACCACCACACACGATTCCAAGAGTACAACTACAGCGCCACGTTTGACAACTACTTGAGCCGATTTTTGGATGGGTTAGTGGACAATGACAGCGCCTTTAGCTATCTCAGGGGATGGGAGAAAGGGATAGCGGAGACGCCAGACTTGAAAGTTCACGTACTGAGCTATGAGGAGATGAAAAAGCACCCGATGGAAGAACTCAGACGTTTGAGCAAGTTTCTGGGTGGAAGCGAGGATGAGGAGTTCCTGAAGAAAGTCTTTGAAGAGACCGATTTTGATACAATGCAGAAAAAGAAAGCCAAAACTACCCTTTACTTCGACTCCAATGGGTTACCTGTGATGTATAGGAAAGGCACAATCGGCGACTGGAAGAACCACTTCACTGTAGCCCAGAGCGAACTGATGGACAGCGCGATTCAAAAAGAACTTGGAGATTCAAAAATGTTCAAATTTCAATATGAATGATTATTGTCAACATGAATAGAAACATTTTAAAAAAAAATTTCTGTTTTCATATCGTTTATGCAACCTCCTCTATAGCTTCTCAACAAAGTTGTTATACATATACTTTTTACTCTTTTTTTTTTTTTGGGGGGGGGGGGGGAGTGTTTTACTGCGCTCACAACTGCGTAAGGTCAAAGTGACACGCGGAACACCCCAAACATTTTCAGTTGGCCGGAAATTTTGAATTTTGCTTCCCTAGCGTGCGGAACTTGCACATTAGACGTTTGGGATTTTTCTCTCTTGTCCGAGAAAGCTAGGTGTTGATCTTACCTACCATAAGGTCAGGGGTGTGACTGAAAGACAGGAGTAAGAAGTTTCACCCATATTTTTGTGTGTGTGAGGGGGGGGGGGGTACAGTGAAGGCGGAAAAGATATGCATGTGTTGGCATTTGTTCTGATTCTCTTTAATGTCTGTGCAAAAGAGCTTTTGTACGAGTGGTTGTGATGTATATAATGTGTCGTTTTTATTCTTAGAATTTCTCTCGACTGAAGAAGTTTGGTGGGTGTAGAAATGTTTGTCTGTATGATACTTTTTTAAAAATAATTATACAATATGCTCAATAACGCAATATTAGTAGAATATTCAGTTATTTAGAATAATATCCTACTACAATAAATTCTGTATGCTCAAGTTTCCTTGTATCTATGGCTTTTTTTCTTCACTATGGATCAATATAGAAATTAATGTTAGCGGTGGGTACCTGCTTGAAACTGTGCTAAGCGTACAGTGAAATGCCCTTTGAACACAATTTCTGTTCCTTTACACCCCACCCCCATCTCTCTCTCTCGCTCTCTCTCTATCTCTCTCTCTCTTTCTCTCTCTCTCGATCTCTCTCTTTTTTCTCTATCTATCTATCTATCTATCTATCTATCTATCTATCTATCTATCTATCTATCTATCTATCTATGTCTCTTCTCACTACCCCCCTCTCTCTCCCTACCTCCCTTTGCCCTCTTTATCTCTCTCTTTCTCTCTTTCTCTATCTATAGTCTGTTTATATATCTATGTTTCATTTGTAGCTCTGTGTGGTTAGAAATCTCGGTGCAGTTGCTGCGAATGAATTTTTTTGCCTGTCTATAGTCTATAGTAGCTTTTTGGGGAAATAAGTCGTTTAGTGTACACTAAGAATTGGAATTTCCATGTCAATATATGTAGAGCTATAGTCACCTGTCACAAGGTCATCTAGAATTGCTTCCCCTTTCTTAGAACACTTGTTTTGAACAGTTAGGCTACCGGACTCGTGATAGTGAGGTTGCGAGTTCGGGGGTTCGAGCCGCGGGCCCGACGTTGTGTCCTTGAGAAAGGCACTTTTCAAAAATGTTCCTCACTTCACCCAGCTGGAAATGGCCATAGATAGCGAAATATCTTGTCAGTATGTTAGTGTTTTAGCGCCTATAAATGGCTGCTTGCACTGTATGCTTCCCAGAAAGTTGAAATTGTTTCAGACAGAATGCTCTCAATTATTATATTATTATTATTATTATTATTATTATTATTATTATTATTATTATTATTATTATTATTATTAACATTATTATTATTGCAGAGACTGAACGTTATTTAAATCTCTACCAATAATTCTTGATGCCTTTCTGATCATCTTATTTATTTTTATGATGTGTTGTTTCCACGAAAAAATTGCTACATAAAAGCTGTAACAACATATTTCAAACTTTCCCCGGTGGATGCATAGAGCATACATTATGGATACATTCAGATACAGCCCCTGAAACGTCAAATAAATGTTAATGTCCACGTGATTCTTCATGGCCAATTTGTTGTGCATTATGAGACCGAGATGTCTGTCCGACTTCATGATTCCAATTGTTTCTTGTTAAATTTCAAGGGGTAGGCAGTAGGGATTTTTTCTCTTCTTATTTAAAAGAACATCCCTTGTCTTTGAAAGGTTCATGTTTAGAGAATTTGAATTGCACCATCAAGTAAAAACCCCCCAAGATATTTCTTCAAAGTAGATGAAAATGGCAACGCCCCCCCTTTCACCCTACCCCTCTCCCTTTTATTCCCCACTCTCGCACATCCAATTCTATGAAGCTGATACAAATAAATTATCCTTTTTTCAGACGGACGTTCAAAAAGCAAACGTTAGTAAACGATCAAGTGCAGCATCGTCAAGACAGGTTTTTCTGCGTCATTTTTTCCAATACTTCTGAGTGACGATGGAAGCTGAGACCATAGCAGACCGCAATGGAGATGCCATGACCCTCGCGCGAAATAACAAAGGCCGGTTGGTAGCCGCCGACTGGAACCCAGATATGGTCAACGGCTTACCTTCTCTGTCTATGAGGGAAGGAGATGTGGTCGTTTGTTCGTATGCAAAGTCTGGGTGTCATTGGACTTGGGAGACTGCTAGACTGTTGATGAGCCACCATGAAGCAGTAGTTCAGCAAACTGAAAAAGAACAGTGCATGATTGAGATGAGCACATCAGAAAAGCTAGAGGCACTCAAGTCTCCTCGACTCCTGAATAACCACGGCTTTTTTGATGAGCAGCCCCTCTCCGAGATGATTGCGAAAGGGGTCAAGGTCATATTCGTCTACCGCAACCTGAAGTCAGTGGCGACCTCTTTCTATCACCACCACACACGATTCCAAGAGTACAACTACAGCGCCACGTTTGACAACTACTTGAGCCGATTTTTGGATGGGTTAGTGGACAATGACAGCGCCTTTAGCTATCTCAGGGGATGGGAGAAAGGGATAGCGGAGACGCCAGACTTGAAAGTTCACGTACTGAGCTATGAGGAGATGAAAAAGCACCCGATGGAAGAACTCAGACGTTTGAGCAAGTTTCTGGGTGGAAGCGAGGATGAGGAGTTCCTGAAGAAAGTCTTTGAAGAGACCGATTTTGATACAATGCAGAAAAAGAAAGCCAAAACTACCCTTTACTTCGACTCCAATGGGTTACCTGTGATGTATAGGAAAGGCACAATCGGCGACTGGAAGAACCACTTCACTGTAGCCCAGAGCGAACTGATGGACAGCGCGATTCAAAAAGAACTTGGAGATTCAAAAATGTTCAAATTTCAATATGAATGATTATTGTCGGCTGTCAACAGAAATTTGTTTTTAAATCATTTTTTTCTGTTTTCATATCGATTATGCAACTCTCTCTATGGTTTTCCGAAACTGTTTTCATTTAAATAAGGTTTAAATGAGAACAGCAATTGTACTACAATTAGCCGAACGCATAACGGTTCACAGCGATGATGATGATATGATGTTACTATCATGTTACTGATCTGAATTACATAAAAGATGTTTTGTTTAATTGCCTGCAGCTTGAATGCTGTTCTCTGTAAGTTTTCTATTGTGAGAGGCATTTTGAGTGAATATGTATGTACGTGCACAAATGGTTAATGTACGAGTACTATATGATAACTACATAAACTCGTATATCATCATCATCCAGTGCCAGATCTGCAGTTGACATAGACAATCATGGTTCTCCATTCATCCCTTCGCTCGGATGCTCTAAAAAGTTACTTTTCCCTGATCTTTTAGGTTCTCTTAGTAGATTGCTCTGGGCCTACCCCTGCCTCGTTAACCATCAATTTTGTCAGTGAGAGCTAAATGATCAAGACCTTTATGTCGATTCACGTGTCCCAAAAACTGCATTTGTCGTTGTAATATTTGTTGGGCATTCAGTTTTCCAGAATACTATCCTTTTGCAATAAATTCGGTTTCAACGTGCTCATATTTTCTTTTCTAAAATCTATGGGTTAGTTTTCCACTTAACCTGCTTCAAACTGTGAAAAGCGTACAATGAAATGTACCTCGAACACAATTTCTGTTCCTTTACACCCCACTCCTATCTCTTTCTCCTCTCTCTCTCTCTCTCTCTCTCTCTCTCTCTCTCTCTCTCTCTCTCTCTCAAACAATTTTCTTTTCTCATCCCCTCCCTCCTGTCCTATTTTTATTTTACTCGTTCTGTGTCTTTTTTGTTCAGTGAACAATCTCACTCGCAAAACAAAAGAATAAATAGAATAAAGCAAAATAAATACAATGCACTAATAGTGGGCAGTTGGTGGGTGCTCTGGGTTGGTTTCTTCCTTCTTTCCTATCAAACATCTATCGTCCTTGCTTCTCCTTCTTCTTTTTGTGTTTGTTACTCTTTTGTAACACCTCTAATCTTCGGCCTTTATATGACCTTATTTTGTTGCAAGTGCCGTAAAACTCTAACTAAAACTAAACTAAACAGCTCTAATATGCGATGGCTCTTCAAATTGTGTTACAAATACCGTAAAACCCTTACAAAAACTCGGAAAAAAACCCTAAAACAGATAAACGAATCAATTAAAACAGTGAGCGGTTCAAATCTGTGAACTAGATTTTTCTCCCTGGGGCAATTAAAAGTGGCGTAAAATTGAGAGTGCATGAGAATTTTGAACGTGTCGTTAACTGGAGCGATTTCGTGCTCTTTTCTGGGACGGGTGGGCATCGATGCGAGAGTGAGATGAACTTGAACGGTTTCAGTTCGCTTCCCGTAGTGGCCTTAATCAATCATAATAAGCCTTTCTTCTGTCCTTCCTGTTCTTTCTCTCTGTCTATCTCTATTTGGCTCTTTTTTTCTTTACTTTTCTTTCTTTACCTCCTCTCTCTCTTTCTTTCTTTCTCTCTCTTTCTTTCTTTCTTTCATTCTTTCTTTCTTTCTTTTTTTCTTTCTTTCTTTTTTTCTTTCTTTCTTTTCTCTCTCTCTCTCTCTCTCTCTCTCTCTCTTTCTTTCTTTCTCTTCTATCTGCCTCCTCTTTTTCTCAATCTATCTCGTTAAGAAGAACACACACTCACACACACCTATCCACCC